ACCCAAACTGCACAGGCTGCAGGCAGCTTGGGGCTCCTGCCCAGACCTGTTCCTAGGCGCTCGTGATGAGAAGGCCGCCAGCCGGCACGGGGTGGGTGGCCCTGCGCTGGAGCCCTGCCCGAATGTGGGCAGGGGCCTGGCCCCACAGGACGAGCCTGGTGGCTGGACATGGTCAGGGCAGGCACCGGGCAAGGAGACGTCAGCCAGGCTGGGCCTGGTCCTGAGCCCTGGTCTGAAATGCTCCGGAAATAAGCCGAGGACTCAGGGAGAGCCGGCCGGCCTCTCTGCAGGGGGCAAGTCCTGGCTCAGGCCCAACCTGACCCAGCGAGGCCTGTCCCCCAGCCCTGGCCGGGCTCCCTGGCCTGGCATGTGCCCCTGGCCTGGTCTGTCCCCCAAGCCTGGCCTGTGCCCTAGCCCTGGCCTGTGCCCCAGCCCTGGCCTGTCCCCCTGGCCTGGCCTGTCCCCCAGCCCTGGCCTGGCCCACCGACATCTGTGCCCATGTCTCTGGGAGGCCCAGCGCAGGTCCGGTGCACCCACACACCCTCTGTGCTCCCCCCACCACTGGCTCTGGGGTCCACCTGCTGCCTGGCCAGTGTGCCCCAGCCCCTCTGCCAGGAGGCCTGTCCACTGCAGGCTCACACTGTTCCTAACTAGGGCCAGCACGGGGCCCGTTTACCCAGACCGCCAGTCAGCCCTCCGGAGTCACCCACCGCGGACAGGATGTCCCCGTGACTGCCGGAGGACCTGGCCTGCTGTGGTGCCAGGAACACGCCAGGCCTGCCCCAAGGGTCCCGCCCCTGGAGGAGGCCTCCTGAGCAGGGCAGAGGCAGCGGGCCTTCAGTGGACACGCGCCGGGGCTGGCCAGGGGTGTGCCTGCGGGGAAGGCCGGGCCGCTGTCGGCTCGGTGAGGGAGGGGCAGCGAGGCCCCGGGAGGGGTCCGTGCAGAGGCTTCTCACCCAGCCTGAGAGGTGGGCTGGGACCGGGGGAGCCGCGGAGAGGGCAGCTGGCTGTCCAGCAAGGCCTGGGCCTGGAGGCCCCACAGCAGGACTCCAGGCTGGGGTGGTGTGAGACGTCCAGAAGCCCGGAGCCCAGCACTGCTCAGCGGTTAGTGCCACGGGCCTGGGGGTCAGCACACCGGCTCTGGGACTGAGTGCCCAGTGGGCACATGTGGAGCTGGAGAAGTGGTGGGCCTTCTTGGCCTCGGGTACTCACCCCTGAGTCAGGTCCAGACCCCCCACCCACCACAGCCGCCGGACAATCCTGGGGATTGACCCCCCGAATCAGGTCCAGACCCCCCACCCACTGCACCCGCCGGACGGTCCCGGGGAGTGACCCCTCAATCAAGTCCAGAGCCCCGTCACTCACTGGATGGTCCTGGGGAGTGACCCTCAAATCATGTCCAGACCCCCCACCCACTGCACCCGCCAGACAGTCCCGGGGAGCAACCCCGTGAATCCGGGGCAGGATGGAGCGCCCACCTGCTGGACACCACTGCAGGAAGGACCTGCATGGGCTCCAGGGCTGGAGTCAGCCCCCAGAGCACACAAGGTCAGCACACTACCCCTCCTGTGGCCTTCGGGGGGCTCGGGACTATGCCCGTTGTTACACATGAAGAAACGGGCCCAGAGAGCCCAGGTGGCGGAAGGCGGGCAAAACAACAGTGCTGGCCTTTGCGCCCAGACCCAGGGAAGACGCTCTGTCCCTCCAAGGAGCACAGCGGCGTGTCCGGGGCTCCAGTAGGGGCCCGGGCCGTTGCATCATGCAGTGGCCCTGTCGGCTCCTGGCTCCCCTGGGCCCCCACCCTCCAGCCCTGTCCTCAGGCTGGGGATGATGAAACCGCAGCAGCTCCGGGGTGGGGGGGCCGAGCAGTGGCTCTGCGGAGGCTGGGGACCACCTGGGGACCCAAGGCAGGCACCTGGGCCTCTGCCCCCTCAACGGGGTGGGGTACGCACACTGTCTGGTCTGGGGCTGGCTGTGCACCAAGTGGTCTGTGAGTCCCGCTGACCACGACAGAGTGACAGCCTTGGGCAGGCGGCACAACACGCAATGGCCTCTGCTGGGAGGCCTGAGCGGTGGCCCCTGCTGGGGGCCCCTGGCCAGCTGGGGTCCAGGAGCAGAGGGGCCGCTGACAGTACCGGGCTCCCCTCCGACCTCCAACCCCAAAGGCGGACAGTCAGGTCCCTGATCCTTGGCCTGGGCCCTCCGTCTCCCACAGCCCCCACCATGGCCGGCATAAAGTGGGACGTGTGTGGGTGTGGACTGAGAACCTACTCCCCGTGCCAGGAGCTGGGCGAGGCTCTGCGGCTGCCGCAGAGGACAGAGCAGACAGATGCACCTCTGCCCTCAGGACCCCAGTGAAGCGTCAGAGAGATCATGATGAACCGTGGCATCAAAGCGTCAGGAGAGCCAGCAGGCACCCCAGGAGCAAGCCCCTAGGTGGAGGCTGAAAGACCACAGGCACCTGTACACATGTGGGCGCACATGTGTACACGAGCGCACATACATGTAGGCATGTGTTGTGTGCAGGTGTGTACATGCACACACATGTGCACATGCATTGCACGCACACATGTATGTGTGCATGTATGTACGTGTACGTGTGCGTGTGTGTATGTGTGCATGTATGTGTGAGTGAGATGCAGCCCAGGGCTCAGCTTTTCCCCAACAGTGCAGACGGATCAAGATTGAGGGGCAGCTCCCTCTCACTTTCTACGCAGGGCTCTGGCTGGGGGAAGGCCCGCCTGTAAAATGGGATGACTGCCCTCCTTACCCTGGCCGGGCCGGCTGTCCATCCAAAAAACTACACACGTCACCAACAGAAGCCCCTTGCGCTCTGATGGCCCCTCTTCCGTAAGCCCATGGCGTTTCCGCCTCCAGGGGAGGTGGAGGCTGGAAAGGTCACCCACAGGCTCAGGGCTGCCCTCCCTCCCCTCCAGTCCTAGGAAGCACGGAGCCTCCTCACCACCAGCTGACGCGGGCGCCCACCCCCAGGGACCCCCAGGCCAGAGGAGTCCACCCGCCGGCCCCCAAGACTCAACACGGAAGGCCCGGCTCCCGGAGAGCGTCGTGCCGCCACGCGGCCACCAGGGGGCGCCCGGCCCGCGGAGCCGCGCCAAGCTGCCGGAGCAGGAGCGGCGTCCAGGGTCGGCCACTGCCTCGGGAGGTCACCCTGCTTCCCTCTCCCCACGTGGCGCTGGCACTCCTCTCGGTGCCGGGGCCCTGCGGGGAATTCACGGGGGGCGGGGTGCAGCCACAGGACCCCCGGGAGCTGGGGCGGAGGAGTCACAGGGAGTCCAGGCAGGGAGGCCCCGTGAGGGTGGAACCCGGAGCTCCGGCTGGCACAACGCTCCCCAGTTGCAAAGCCCCCATCACACGCACAGCAGCGCGCTTTGCCTGTCCCGGCCCCGAAGCCCCTGCACCCTGCAGCCCAAGGAGGCGGAGACAGCCCGGCCGCCAGCCCACCTCGCCTTCCCAAGCCTGCCCGCCGCGCTCCCAGCCCTTGGCGGCTGCCCAAACTCTGCCACTCTGTCTCAGCCTAACTGGGACAGAGGCCTGTGGATGCGATTGAGAGTAGGATGGCCCCCAAGGACACAAAGGCCGAGTCGGACCGGACGTCTGAGGGAGGGCCATGGGGTCCAGGGGACTTGGGGCATGCCAGCCAAACTGGGGCTGGGAGACCCTGGGGCTTGGGGAGGGATTCACCCCAAAGGTCACGCATTTCCAGGCATCGGGCCCCCGCATGGGGCAGGGTCGGGGAAGAGCCTGAACTGACTGTGCAGGGGGTCTTGTGCTGGTCCCGGGTGCCCAGTCGCACCCACCAAAACTGCCCTACCCCCAAGGGAGGAGGCAGCTCTGACAATCAATGGCAGGGCTCCATCAGCAGAAGCACAGGAAAGCCTGCCTTGGGGGACTTGAGAGGGGGGATCTCCAGAGCCCCAGGCAGGGGGCTGTCAAGAAGCCCAGGCAGCGATCTGTGGGTTCTGCCCTCCTGGGGGCAGGGGTCAAGGGCCTGGCTGCCCCAACCCCCCTCCCGTTCCCCAGCCAGGCCCGGCCATGGACGCGGCCTGTCTCCTCTCATTCAGAATTCCTGTGGCTGCGGTCCTTCCCTGTCCCCCGTGTCACCAGTTGAGTGTGGTCTCTCCCCGCCCCCCGGCTTGGGAGGCCTCCCCAGGGCAGGAGCCTGGAGCTCTGCTCCTGGCCGCCCCCCACCCCGTGTCCCGGGAACCCTGCACCTCCGTGCACACCCGGTGCGGCTCTGGACACGTTTGCAGTTTGAGGAAGGAGCCTAAGGGTGGGGGGAGTGTCTGAGAGCTCCGCAGACTCCGCGCTCCCCCCACCGTCGCTCCGGTCCCCACAGCTCCTCCGAGGCCCGCAGGGAGGGTGTGCAGGACTGCGGGCAGCTGCAGGGCCCAGGCCGCCTGCGACGGCGCTGCTCTTACAAAGAAACGGCACGGCCCCTGGGCGGGATCCAAGGCGCCGACCACCTGCAGCTGGACTCCCCGCCGGAGGCGGCCCGGAGCGCCAGGCGAGCACAAGTTCCCCGGGCAGGAGTCCCTGCGAGGCGGCGTTCCACTCCCGCGGCCGAGGTCGCGCCCGTCCGCCCCGGCGCTCGCCCCTCCCCAAGCGCACGGCTCGCTCCCTGCCTCGCCGGGGCCCCGAGAGTGTCTCTGCTGGGGACCCCCGGGAATCCCCGGTCCGACCCCAGGAGCCTCCGGGGGAGGCCCGCAAGGCCGGGGGTAGTCCCGAGCCCACGGCCGCTGTCGGCTGCGCCCCGACTCCGCGGCTTAGCCCAGGCTGCCCTGGAGGACGCACCGGGCCGGGGAGCGCCCAGTTGGCTGCGCGGCGAGGACAGCTCCGCCGGGAAGGGGCCGCTGTGTGCGCGCCGGGGACCGGGGAAGGCCGGGCGGAGTGGACAGACCCGGGCGGAGGGAGGGCGGCGCGGGGCGCGGGGGCGCAGGGCGGGAGAGAAGAGGGGGCGCAGCGGCGCTCCGGTCACTCACCCGAGATCTCCGCCTGGGGCACATCGCTCAGGCTGAAGCCCTTGGCCCCGTAGATCTGGCGCACTTCCCCGCAGCTCCGACTCTTGCTGGCAGGGTCCCCGCGGGAGCAGGCGACCAGCGCGGCGGCCGCGTACAGCAGCCACCAGCCTCGGGCCCGGAGCTCCATGGCGGGGCCGGCGGCGCCCCCGGCCGGGCCCGCGCAGCCCCCGCCCGCGAAGGGCAGAGCCAAGGTCCCCGCGCACTCGGCTGGCGGTCCGGAGGCGCCGGCGACCGGGGAGGCGGAGACAACAAAAGCCGGCGGGGCGCGGGGCGCAGGGCGCGCGGGGCGCGAGGTCCTGCCGCTGGCTCGGGCGGCCCCAGAGCGCGGCAGGCGAGCGCGCAGTCCGGGCCCGGCCCCTGGGCGGCGGGGAGAGGGGCGGGGAGGGGCGCGCGGGGCGGGGCGCGCGGGGCGGGGCGCGGCGCGGGGGCGCGATCCCAGGCGCACGGGGCGCCCCTCCGGCTCCCGCGCCTGGTGCGGGGGGCTGCCCGGCTCGCGCGGGTCTGCCCACTGCAGGAGGAGAGCGGGGTGGCGGGAGAGCTGGGGGCCGCGTCCGGGGTCCCGAGGGCGGGCCCCCCACGCCCGGCGCCCGGGGCGGCGACACCACCTGCGGGGGCGGGGGCGGGGGCGCTGAGGCAGGGCTTCCCCCGCCGGACGTGACGTCACGCCTCCCGCGCGCCTATCAGGGGCCTCCCCGCCCCCAGCCGGCCTCCCTCCCCTCTTCCCTGGGCTCCGCGCCGGCCCTGCCGGCCTGCGCCCTGGCAGCGTGCCTCGCGCGCCGGGTCCCGCAGCCTCCTCGGCCCACTCTGTCCACCGCCCGCACCTGGCCCGCACCCCTTCACCGGCCCCTCGCCTCGCGCCCGTTTCAGCCTCCTCACCCGCGGCTCCAGCTCGCTCTTGATTCTTTTGTGGAGGAGGGTGGGGGGGCTGTAGGCGGGAAACGAGCCAAGAGAGCAGCCCGCATCCGCTCGCCTTCACGCGCAGAGGCGACCCGCTGCTTAGTTGTCGGAGATCGTCGGCCGGTTTTTGTCCCCTCCACGTGATGCTCTGGATGCTCGAGAAGCGAGAGAGGGGGGCAGGGGCTTGTCCGTGGGCTGGGGCCGCCGGGTGGTGGCAGGTGACCTCTTGGGGGAGGGGTGGGGTCGGGGCCAGGAGCGGTTCAGGTGTATGGGGCGGGGAGCTCTCGCAGACGGAGGGGCTGGCCGGTGCCGCGCCGGGGGTTCGCCGTGCTGTCGGGCACGGAGGGAGAGGGGGCGGGGGCCGCGGGAAGGGAGGTCAGAAGCTGGGTACTGGCGCCCGGAGGGCTCCTTCATTTCTTCCCAGCGGCTGCCCTCTCCTGCTTCGCGTTCCTGCCCTCCTGCTTTGTGAGGGCAGGACCCAGAGGCCACCAGGCCCCAAGCCCAGCTGCCTGATAGGCAGAAACGGGGTGAAAGCAAATAAACCAGCACCCTTGGGAGAGGACCCCGAGATCACCACGGTGAGCCGATAAGGTGCCTGGACCTTGGACCTGGGGCCCCATGGTTTCACCTCTCAGGAGCAAGTCTGTCCACCCTGGGAGGAAGGAGGACCCCATCCCTCCCCTGGGGCTCCCAGAGTGGTGGCCTCGGCAGCTCTAGAGGGTCTCCTAGCCCCTCGCCCAGAGACCCCGAGTTGTGTGGAGACGGGGTTGAGGCCCCCTTGGTGTGCAGGCCTCCAGCCCTCCGCGTGCACCTGCTGCTTTGTCGGGCCGGTGACTCGGGGATCCCCGTGCAGCCGCTTCGGGCTCCCCCCATCATTGCTTCCGGATCAGGCAGGAGCCGGAGGGCTAAACCTGGCCTCAGATGTGATGGGGTCACCCACCCTCGCTGGAGTCTGTCCCCTGTAAAGTCGGCCAGGCCGTGCGATTCCTCAGGGTGGGGTCAGTGCGGTCCAGAGCCTGGTGGGCGGCTCTCACGGGGCTGGCATCCCGGATGTGGTGGTCGTGGGCACAGCCCCTGCCCGGCCCCCCCCAGGTGTGTGCTGACTCCACCCCGTAGAGGACCCTCACCACTGCCTGACAGTCCTGTGTTCCTTCCCCTCAGAGCCGGGGTCCTTCCCCTAGTGAGGAACTGTCCCCAGGCAGTTCTGACGTTCGTTGCCAGGACGTGGAGGGGAGCCGGGCAAGTGAGGGCTGCGGTGCCCCTCTGGAGGAGAGCTGCGAGGACAGCAGGGTGTGGCCCCCCTTCCCGGGCGCGGGGCTCTGGCTGTGCTGCTGTTGCTCCGCCCCGCGCTGGGGGGCCGCCTGGGTGCTCAGCCTCCATGCGCCTGGGGAGGTGGCAGGGGGCCAGGGTGCGGTGTGGGCAGAGGACCAGTGTCCCCCGGGGCACGTGGCGCCTCCCCAGGGGGTACAGTCTTTCCGGTTCTCCATCACCAGGTCATTGATTGAACGTGACACAAAGGGGTGGGAGGGAAAGCCCATGATTTGTCTTGTCGCCGGCATCAGCGGGCTCCCTGGTTCCGTCCCGGAGTGAGAGCTGCAGACCCGAGTTCAAGTCGGCCGTGTGGTTGCCGACGCTGTGCTGCCCGGGTTCCGTGTCTCCTCGTGACGATCGAGGGCAGGGGGTCTGGCCGTGCCCACACAGGCCGGGTGCTGCTGCGGAGATCCTGTGCGGGGCCTGTCCTCGGTGCCACAGAACGCTGTGGAGGGCCCGGTGTTGACCCGTGTCCCACGGGGAGGCAGGCGGGACTGTTCCCCGACTCCAGATGGGTCCAGCACCTGCCAGGAGCCTTGTGACCAGGAGCTGGAGGTCAGGCGCGGGGGCAGCTGGCTGGTCGGGCTCGGGGTGGCTCTGCTGAAGGCGGCAGGTCACAGGCCTTGGGGCCTGGAAGGAGGTGCCACCTGCACCCTCACGTTCCTTCCTCTCTTCCCTCGCTGTTCTCTGGCCTGCAGAGCCTCCCTCCTTGCTGCCCCACCCAGGGGCGTGCTCTCAAGAGTTCAGATGCCGACACCTTACTGGGCGAGGGAAGGGGCCCTGTTTGGGGTCATAACACCCCAGTGCCAGCTGCTGGGGCTCCACTGCTCCCGAGACACAGCAGCCTGTGCGCGGCCCCCTCTCACGGCCCTGGGCCTGCCGTGCAGACTGAGCGCCTCCCTGGGAGAGTGCACAGCCCGGGCTTTTGGGATCTAGGACTAGGTCACACTGCGGAGGGCCTCGTGAGCCCACAGGTGGCTGCTGTGGCTCCGGCCAAGACCGCCACCTTCTGCTCTGGGGTCCTGGTCTGCCAGACATGGGGTACAGATGTGGGAAGGGAGGACGGAAGGGAGGAAGGAGTGAGTGGTTTGCTCATAAAGAGAAACAGCATCGTCCCCGTCGAGTGGGTGTGTGACGGAGGCTGGATTTGCCCTCTGCTGACACCAAGCTTGAGCTGAGAAGAAAAGGACCATTTAGAGGCATCTCAGAAGGGGGCGTGTACTCTCCCACGTTTCCGTCTCCTGGAGGAGTGACCCCGAGTCCCAGAGGGCAGCGCCCTGCCCCCCACTTCCTGTCTCTGGCCGGTGAGGGGCCAGATGTTAAGGCTGTGGGCCTGCCGGGCTCCACCCCGGACTCCGCAGGCTGGGGCTCCCCCGGCGGCTGCTGGGGAGTAACGGGGTTTGTTCTGGTGGGCGTCTTTCGGGACCCCCCGAGGCAAGTGTCCAGGTAGACTGAGCAGTTACAGTCGCCTCTATCCACGGGACCGTCTCTGCCCACCGAGTCCCTAACGAGACCCACGGGGCGGGCTCAGGGGGCGCTGGGCCAAGGACAGCTGGGCTGCCACTGGCCTGCTGGGGCCCCAGAGCTGTTGTGATGCCCTGGGGGTCGGCGGAGGACACAGGGTCCCCCCACCTCCGTAGGGCCCTGGGGGTTCGCAGGCAGCAGCTTGAGAGAGGAGGTGGGTGCCCCGGGTGTGGCCGGAGGAGAGAAATGGGACTCCGGTGGAGCAGAGGCTTCTGCGGGCAGGCATCATCAGGGCCCCTGATGGCTCCCCGTGTCTGGGGGTGGAGGGGGAGCCCCCCGGGCCTCGTGGCTGCCGCTGGTCCGCTTGCGCCCCTTGCCTCTGTGGGGAGGTGGGCAAACGCACCTAGTCGCTCACGCATCCATTCGGCAACACGGCTCTTGTCCTTATAAAGGCTCTCGCCCCAGGGTCGCCCCAGTGCAGAGTCCCCGAGGTGTGGCACCTCCCTGGGCTCTGCCCAGCAGCATCTTGGAGGCCCCACAGAAAAGGGCCTCGTCCCCGACCCCCAGAAGGCTGACTCGGCTCTGAGTCTGAATCGCTCCCCCAAACCGGGGTGGGGGACGCCCCTCAGAAGCAGGGAGGGTGGCGAAGGCCCACGCTGAGCACGGGGTTTGCAGTTCAGATGAAACGGGGGTGCCGTTGTCCCCCAAGGGCGGTCCTGCCTGTCCCCTGTCCCTTGCTCCAACCCCTGCAGCGGCTTGGACCTCAAGGCAGACATCCTCGGACCTCAAGACAGCCCGCTCAGCTCCGCAGGGGCCCTTTGATCAGCCAGAAACTGGGGCAGGCCTCCCAAGCTCGCGAGGCTCGGGCACCTGGGCGGGGCTGGGCAGGAACTGCGGGCGAGTGTGGGGTCTCCGCACCCCTTGGAGGAGGTGGCCTCACGCTCAGCTCTGGGCCCGCCTGGCACAGCCTCCCCTGTGCCTCCTTCCCCGCCCGGTTCCTGGCCTGGCCCCGGAGCAAGGGCTGCGCTGGGACCCCGGGCGCCCAGGCAGCATCTGATGTATTGGGAGGAAGCCCTCCCCGTGTGCCCAGCAAGGGAGCTGCTGCTTTCCGGGGCCCTGCCAGCCCTCCCTGCCCACCTGGCTTCTGTCTGTCCCTCCTGCACACCTTCCATCTCGCACCGTTGCCGACTTCTCGGATTTTCCATCTCCAGTCTGCACCGCTGGGCTGATGGTTCTGCAACCACCTCCCATGAAAAGCCCACAAAGGCCGCCTGCTAGTGCTGTCGGAGGGCTCCCAGCCGCTCCTCACCTCGCGGCTGACCAGCCCATTAAACCAAACCAGGCCCCCCTCTCTTCCCCAGACGTCCGTGGCTTGCCCTGGAATCTTCCACTAGTCTCAGGCGGGTCTGAGGTTGCTTCCAGCTGCAGAGATTTGGGGCCCAGGGAGTGTGTGTCCAGGCAGGGGTGGTGCCTGAGGGTCTCGGTGAAGGCAGTCTCCTGAATGTGAGGTCTCCTGGCATCTCTTCATCACCGTCGCCCAAAGGCTGTACACAGCCCTCTGGATCCCCCAAACGAAGAGCCGTTTCCAGGGCTTGGCCAAGTTCAAGGCGTCCTCTGAGAAGCGGGTGAGGACTCACCCTGGGGAGGAGCTGGCCCAGAAGGCCCACCATGTTGCCGGAGGAGACCCAGGATCCCAGCCGTCATTTTTAGGAAGAAACAAACCCACGTCTGAAACGGGGCATCCCCTGCCCCCCGGAGGTGACCTTGCTCGCTCACCCAGGTGTGCCCTGGGCCTGGGATGCAGGGACTCCGCTGGGCTACGTGGCTGTGGAGGGGTGCCTGGAACTGACCCTGGCTGGCTGGCTGGCCCCACCTTTGCTGCTCCTGACGGAGGGGCTGCAGGGGCAGGGCCGTGGTTCCAAAGGTCTTCTCCCGGCAGGGCGGGGGAGGGGGCCGGGGTGGGGCCCTGGTTGGGCGGCCTGGAGGATCCGTCCGCCTGTTGGGAGCTAGGTGCCACGGGCTGGCGAGTCGGGAGGTGACTGTGGCCTCGGCGGCCTTGGCGGGCAGCCCACAGGCTGAGAAGGACTCACCTGCGTGGGGTCAGGGCTCAGACCCGCCTGCCCAGTCTGGGGCTGGGGGGCAGGGCAGGGCCAGGGAGGAGCCTTCTCGGGCTGGGGGTGGTGTTACTCTGCAAGGTCCCAGGAGCAGGGTCTTGCAACCTCGGCAGGAGGGCTGAGACCTGGGAGCGAACTAGGGGGTCTTCTGGATCCTGGGAGGTGAGGCCGCAAGAAGACTCCAGCCCCCCGCGGTCTGCTGCTGCAACTGCTAGGGCCTGAATGTGCAAAAGGAAAGTCCTCCAGGGTGGGGGGGACATCTGATGCTGAGCCCGGGACCCCCGGCCCAGGAGAACGGGCTGCAGGCGGGAACTGGAGGCCCTGAGGCCCGTGGAGGGTGGGGGGTGCTTCCAGAGTCAGGGTTATGCTGCAGGTCTTGGGGGAAGGGGCTGTTGTGGGTGCAGACCAGGGTGTGGGGTCCCGGCCCCGGCATTGCTCGTCAGAGGCTGCAGCTCTTCCATCCCCCAGCACTGCCGGAATGTCCCCACACGTAAAGGGGTGCTTGCTGGAATCGGGTGAGGAAGGGGGGCCTGGGGCCACAGCCTGCGCCATGACCGGCCGTGAGGTCAGCCCTACAGCCGAGCTCAGTCTTAAGTGCCCAGCCCTGATCAGTTCTGGGTGAGCGGGACAAGGCGGGAGTCCACCCTTGCTGGGAGGAGGGGGCACTGGAGGTCGAGTGTCCCCCCGCCCCCCCCAGAGGCAGGCGGGCACTTAGACTAGCGTGTGTGGCTCCTGACACCAGCCCTGATCCAAGTGCTCCCCAGGCCTGAGACCAGGGCTGGATCCAGGGAGGGCAGTGGGGACGCCTGCCCGCTGTGCCCTTGGCCTCAGTCCCGGGAGCCCAGAGCTGGGGTGAGGCAGCCCCCAAAGGGGCTCCTGGCCCCACAGACCCTGGCCTGGCCCCCAGGCCTGCGCCTTGGTCCTCTGCGGGCTTGCTGGTCCCGACACCGACAGTGACCAGCTGAGCCGCCCCAGGAGGGCAACGTGTCTCTTGCTTTCTCCATTTTCTTGTAGGAAAAATGGGCACAATACAGGGTTGTTTCCCAAACAGCCAAATATCCAAAAAAGGGCAACAGAGTGTGTGTGCTGGGGTTTACACTTCTCAATCTGAAAACGTGCTGCAAAGCTACGTAATGAAACGGCGTGACCCAGGCACAAACACAGACCGCTGAGACAGAAGTCAGCCCGTGGGTGTCTGTGGCCGGCCGGTTCCCACAGGGTGCTGGGACCATTCGCTGGGAGCAAGGCTAGTCCCTTCAACACGTGGTGCCAGGGCCACGAAGGGAGAGCCCTGCCTCTCCCCACACACAAGAGCCAGCCCCCCATGGGTCAGAGGCCCAGATGGAAGAGCTAAACCATAAAACTGAAGAGAATAGGGGTCAATCTTAATGACTTTGGATTTGGCCTTAGGTTCTTAGACAGGACACCAAAAGCACATTTGATGAGAGAAAAAAATGGATACACTGGACTTCATCAGAACTAGAAACGTCTATACAGCAAGCGAAAGGACTGCCCCTAAGGTGGAAGAGAATGTTTGCAGTTCACACTCTGATAAAAATCTAGTGTGTATATAATACCAACAAATTAATACATAGATAAGTTTGATACACGTGTATATATGTAAATAGCCAAAAAGTACACAAAAAGAGGCTCAGCGTTGTTAAGTCATTAGGGAAATGCAAATCAAAAACCACAATGAGGTACCTTTTCATACCCACCAGGGTGGATATAATAAAAAAGATGGAAGGTAGCTGATGTTGTCCAAGATGCGGAGAGTCGGAAGCGCCGTGCATTGCTGATGCGTGTGTGTAATGGTGCAGCCCCTGGGAAAGCTGTTTGGTGGGTCCTTAAAATGAAGAACAGAAATACCGTTTGACTGAGCTCTTGTACTCCTGGGTGCATGTACCCCAAAGACATGAAAACAGTAGTTAAAAACTTGCACATGATTGTTTACAGCAGCGTTATTCACAGGAGATAAAAGATGGGAACAACCCAGATGTCTCCCCACTAATGACAGCATAAACAAATGTGCTCTGGCCTTCCAGCAGAGTTGTATTCGGCCATAAAAAGGAAGTGCTGACTCAGCCATCAACCTCGTTGAACCCCAAGATCGTTGGGCTCCATGAAGGAAGCCCGTCACAGGAAGCCCCTCCTACGTGAAATGTCTGGAGGAGAGAAATCCCTGGTGACAGCAAACAGGTTGGTGGGAGCCAGGAGCTGGGGGAGGGGAAACGTGGACTGACTGCTCACGAGGTCAGTTGGGGTGACCTTCTTGTTGGGGCGACAAGAGAGTTTTAGAACCAGGTAGAGGTGGCGGTTGCACCATGTTCCAAATGCCTCAGATGCCGCTGGGTCTTTAAAATGGTTAATTTATGTTGTGTGAACTTTCTTAACCCACCCCTCCCTCCCCAAACCAGGGTTGTCATCCTTCGTACGCCTGGTTAACTTGTTTGAAGCCTGAGAGGGTGCCTGGTGTGAGCCATCCCCTGGGACATCCCTGCAACAAGCGCCTTCCAGAATGGGGGCAGCATTCCGGTAGTGTGTCCACCATAGCTCCAGACCTGATGGAGACCTACATTTGTCACCTCGAAGCTCCCCCGGCCCCTGAAGGCAGGTTCCTTGGATGGAGAGAGGGGTCCAGGTGGGCAGGGGCAGCGCCTAAGAGGAGAGCTTCTCAAACGCTGAGTGTTTAGTCTCCCAGCCCCCGGGGATGGAGCGACACTTTCAGAACAAACTAAAGTCATGTCCTCGCAATGTCAAGTTGCCATAGAGGCCGCCCCAGGTGCCACTGACATGTCCCTGCCAGGCCGTGGGCCACGGGGGGCCTGGAGCTCGCGGGGGGGCTGTTCCTCCAGCCGCGCAGGTGAGCGAAGCTGCACCCCGTCCCCTCCTCCCCTGACCCCAGCTCTGGCTGCCTAGCTCGGCAGCTCCTGGGAGGCATTCACCTCTGCCCTGAACCCTCAGGCTGGCCCTCAGCCGAGCGTTCGCCCTGCACGTGGACCCCGTGCTCTGGTGCAGACCATGAAGGCACCCCCCACACGTCCTGCTGCTTCATCCTCGGGGGCCTTTCCGGTGGGGAGGGGACACGCCCCTCAGAGCCATTCATAATGGGGCTCAGAGCCGTGGTCTCTGGCCAGCAGGTTTGCTGACCCTCTCGTCGCCTCAGAGAGACCCCTAGCCTCAGGCTCCTTCCCACCCTGCTTGCAGATTTTCCTAGAAGGAGGTAGTCTCGCCCAAAGGCCATTTCTATGTCTGCACCTTCACACTGTCCAGACGGGGTATTTTAACTAAATTGCAGTTGTAGAAAATGCACTCTGAAAACAGAGCCCTCCCCACTGTCCTGGCCCCCCAGCCCTGCAGCTGTTAGCCAGGGGCACCCGGCAATGTGTCCCCTGCCAGGGCTGAGTCCGATCGTCACTCACACTGCTGTTACTGCAGGGTAGCAGGTGGGGCAGGACCCTGGGGCTTCCAGGTGCCTGGTTTGGACGGGTGACAGGCCTGCCCACTCAGGAGGGTCTCAGGCAGGGGGAGTGTTTGCTGCAGCCCCTGCCTGAGTGGGTGGAGGCCCCAGTAGGCTGAAGGCCGCTGCTGTCAGACAGGATCCAGTTTGCATGACCAACAGCCAAAATTTAAAATTTCCTAGCCTAAAAACTTAAAAAAATTTCCCTAGTAGTAATGTATATGTGATTGCTACAACTCCAAATTCAGAAGTGTGAAAAAAAATAGTCCCTGTTCACACCTCAAATCGCACCTTCCACCCAGAGTATTGAGGTTAACACTGCAGGCATACCCTTCTAGAACTTTCTGTGAGTTGTCTCTGGGCAGCCGAGAGACCCTAGTAGTTTGGGTCTACTAGGCACATTGTTGTGCATTTTTAGCTGGGCCCTATGTCCTTCCCTGGTGGCTTAAATAGTAAAGAATCTGCCTGCAATGCAGGAGACCTGGGTTCCATCCCTGGGTTGAGAAGATCCCCTGGAGGAGGGCCTGGCAACCCACTCCAGTTCTTGCCTGGAGAATGCCGTGGACAGAGGAGGCTGGCAGGATACAGTCCACGGGGTCACAAAGACTCAGACACGACTGAGCTACTAACACTTTCAGTTTCACGTCCTGGTGAGTCCCCCTTGTTCCTTTCCATTTGTTGCCTGATTTCCGAAAAAAGGCTGCCTCTTCCTTCTATTTTAAGCCCCAGAGTTTTGTTATTTCAAACAAAGTTACATTAAAAACCTGCCAGGCACTCTGTGGGAGCACGTGAGTTCTTCTATAGAACAAATGATCAGAAAAACATCCGCTGAGTTACGCGGTGTGTGTTTTCATGTTTTAAATGAACTTGGCCAAACGGTCCTCCAGAATACCGGGCCAGTGAAGCCCCTTGTTCTGTGCCAACCCGAATGACGGGTCAACCTCACGAGTGATTCTGTCTGTGCTCCCCGAGGACCCGGAGGTTGGGATGCTCTCATCTCACACCCTGAGAGTTTCCCGGGGTCCGATAGCCGAGCCCTTTGCCATTCCCCACCTTGGTTGTTGGTCTTTCTATGTTATTTTTTTTCTTGGTAGTCACATTTATTAAGGTATCATTGCTATACATTTTAAGTTTACAATTTGTTGTTTGATGAGTGTATATACTCATGTAAGTATCACCCAGATCATGAAACAGAAAACTCCCATCATGCCAGAGACTTCTCTCTTTGTAGCAGATCTCCTCCCTGAACTTGACTTGACCCAGGCAGACACTGATCTAATTTCTGACACCATAGATTAGTCTTCCTTCTGCATACATTAAGTAAAATCTCCGACCAGGTATTCTTTTGTGTCTGGCTTCTCTCCCTCAACCATGTCTGCCAATATATTACATGTGTTGGCAAATATTCCATTTTTATTGCTGAGTGGCAGGAGGGCCGAGAGGAGCTACTCCACATTCAAGGTCAGGAGGGGCGACCTCGTCCAAGGTAAGGAGCAGTGGCTGCGCTTTGCTGGAG